TCTTTGCCTAAATGAAGACACAAAAAACAATTGATTTACTGTTTATTTAAATATATTAGAGAAGCAGACATGAATCACATTGCAGACCATCAGTTTCTAACAAAATACAACATATCTTACCACCTGTAGCCTACGGTCTGTGGTGCTAACCTAGCTTAAATATAGCTTAAATATAGAACGATTTCGTTAAAAACAGAGGACCCAGCAGCCCACGTATTTTCAATAATGATCAAAATAACTGGATTTTTTTTTATAACAGTGTGTTTAAATATTAGACTTTGAATACGGTGGTTTGTTGTATTTACACATTTCTTCATCGTAGACCGGCAGAGCGGTTTCGGTGTAGCTGGGCTGCGTAAGTCATCATGGCAGTACGCTAAGTGGGCGGGGCGTGTTACCAGGGCTCCTGCCCCCGGACCCTACTGCGCAGACTCTGGCTCCAAATGACGTCAAAATCGCAAGATGGAAGCGCCCCTAAGCGGCGTATTTTGGCTTCAAGAACGTTAAGTGGGAACAGCTATAGTGCGCGCCCACTGGTTTTATTCAGTAGTAATGACCCTTCAGAGCCTCCGTATGTGTGACTAAACCTGTGAACGGACTCTGTGCTCTTCTTTTTTCTCCTCTGACTCCATCGGCTAAGTTTAGCTGCTGCAGAGATCTTTGAACTGTAACAAACAACGATAGCAGAGTACGAGGAGCAACTGATCCAGAGAGGAGAGCGAGCGGGAACCAAGGGGCAACCTCCGGTCTCGAAAAATGAAGCCTATGCGGAAGTACAAAAAACTGCAGTTCCTCGAGGTTCCGCTTGAGGCTGGCAGCAGAAACGCCGGAAATGCCATAAGCCCACAGCCAAAAAAGCCTGTTTTTACCACAGGAATCAACATGTTTACAGCCTGGTTCAAAAAACGAGATATATCTGAGAAGTTGACGGCCCCTTCTCCTCACACTGTGGGGGGGGGGTGAATTTTTTTATAACTCATCGGATTTGATTCTATTAAGGAAAACGACTATGCCCATATTAGGGATGTGGCAGATTTGATTGACAGCTCTGCGCGCTGCATCTGTCTGTCAGGTCAGCAGGTCAGGAGGCTAACAGCTTGATCCTCTGATTTCTCCTCTTTCTTACTTCGTTTGGAGAGTTTGTTTAACACATACCTGACAACATACATGGCTTGCTGTGCGGTTAACAGACCATCCAACAAGTTGATGCTTCAATTTTCTTCGGTAAGTGATATAGTAGTGTTATATTTACTGCTTACTCATGTGTTTATATTTATATTTACGGACCTAGCTTGTTTAGTGTTAGCTTGTAAACCAGTCGGCTAACTGTACTCAGTGTAGCTCATTATTTACATTATTTACGGTCAATGGTTTAGAAATGTTTGTTGTTAAGATGTTGTTGTTGAAAATAATGAGTTTGTGTGATGTTAGAAGCTAAAGGTTCAGCTCGGTGGTTAACCACAGACAGTAAATATGGTTATCTGATGTTATGATGAATGTTATACTCCACGATACGTAAATGTGGACATTAAAAAACAAACTTTGTGTAGTAATTATCCGTCAGTAACATAAACTGAACTGAACCTAATGTGCTGTGTAGGTTATAGAGGATGACATCAACGTTACATGGTTGATGTAGTGTCTTAAGATTTGAGCAAACTGTTAACAAATTTAAAAAAAAAATCACTTTGTAAGAGCATCTGTAACCATTAAGAACTATATTAATAACCATATTAATTTTCACTGAACTCATACACAGAATATAGCAGTAGAAATATAAAATATAAATAACATATGGAATGAAAATAAGATATAAAGCATAAGAAATAGTTTGAAGAATACAGCCATGTACTGAGCTCATGTTAATAACAGATGAGCTACTGTATGTTCTGTACTGAAGCACAGAGAGTTGGGACCTGTTAATGATTTAAATAATTCAGGTTATATTTGTTTCATGTTAAGATGAAGTACTATCCACAATAAACTGCTTAATTTTTCCTCACAAAATCTGAGACAATTTGATGTGGAATATCATTGTGCAAGTGAGTGAGAGAGCTGAAAACAGCATGATTACAATAATGTTTATCTTCTTAACTTTGAATAGATGTTGATTACCTGAATACTGTACCTTTGTTGTCTGGGTAGTACACTGTTGAATTTATAAATGTGCTCTTACACACAGATGAATACAGAAAAATAGATGAGAACAAAAAAAATGAATAACTGATATTTTCTCTCTTTCTTTTCCATCCTGAAGACCTCTCACTAAAAGTCCACGTTCTCCTGGATCCATGTCACATGCTCGAGCTTCTTCTGAATGACTTTTCAACAGTCGAAGTTCTGCTGAGAGAAGATATCCAGCAGATAAGACAGCAGTACATGAAGGAGCTCCACAGGCTTCAGGAGGAGGAGGAGGGTTTGCACCTTGGAAGACTGTATTCATGCTGTTCAAATAAAACTAGATCTCCTCCAAACAACTTGCAATCAAACTATTTTCTTCCCATTTTAAAACCCTTTGTCCAGTTTAGATGGGAGAAGTTGATATTATGTGATATTGATCTGGGAAGACTACATTTCTAAATCATTTTTATCTGTGTTTTTATTTACAAGTTATTGATCTTATTTACTCTCCATGTATCTTGATTTAAGAATGGGGCTGTGTTTAAGGTCATCAATTTGCAATGACTCTGTTCCATCCCATTTTCAGAAATGAACTACATTAGTATTCATGATAAGAATAAGAAGTTGTGTAAAAGTAGACTTCCTTCCCTAAGCTATTGAGTTGAGCATTAATGCACATTTTAGTCTTGTCATTTCAAATCTGAAATGTACACTCATAAGTAGACATAAAGGAGTGCATTTATATAGAAATATTTATTTAATCTGAAAAACAACATTAAAAAAATCTGTTTTTACAGCAGAGATGAACATGTTTACAGCTTGGTACAAAACAAACAAATAGGTGTGATTAGTTCATGTCTCGATGGACACACTGTACGGGGGGGTGAATGTTTTGATGACTCATCAGTTTTGATTTGATGAAGGATAAGAGTTATTCACAATAAGGCGTGTAGCTGACCAGCTTGACAGGTGGGTGCGGTGTAACGGTTTGTCAAGAGGTTTAAAACCCGTCTCAGCTCTCAGCCTGTGGGTGTCATCACTCAGGCCATCCGGGGGAGACCTCCCTCACAGCGAGCTGTTGAAGAGAAGCAACCGAAGTCCACCTCAGAAGAACCAACAAATACAGATGTTGTTGAGGCTCAGGTTTCTTCCTCTGTCTCTGCAGCTCTCTGGGCACCTCGACGGACCAGTCACCAATAATCCACACTGTGTCTATAGGAGAAATACAAAGGTGTTCAATTAATGCCTCAGACAAGACAAAATGTACAGTTAACTACATGTGACAGCTCAGGGTGTTGTTTTGTTATGAGCCACATCTGCAGGAATAATATTGAACAAGGTAGCTGCAACTCATCATAATAGATGCCAGTCTTAAATACTATTTTTTCTAATACTTAAAGTTTTTGGTGTGAAGCTGACACTGTCCACAGACTCCATGACTTCACAGGGTTCTATAGAAAACAAAATGTCTTATAATAAATACTAAATAATTATTTTTCAATTGTCATGTTCACCTCATCGCTGTTGACATCAGTAACTATAAGACACAGACATTCCTCTTTTTGTCAGAACATGAACATGAACTGTATGCTTTGTAATATTGATTTCTTCTGGATGTCTCATTTATTTACAGTTTATGGATAAAACTTTGTTAATGTATTTCTCTGCTAACACTGACAAAGTCGAACTGCTCTGACAAATAACTAATAACCATAGTTGTATATTTAACAAAGTGCAGTTTTAAGACTTTAATTAAATATTTGTGTTGAATATAATTAGTTTTAACTGTGTTGTAGAAAAGTTAAATGTTAACTTACTGTTTGTAGAGTTTTCTCAGGACGAGCAGAAATAGTTGATGATAGCAGCCTAGCTATTAGCTATGCTGTCAAGTGGACTGCTAACATCGAGTCCCGCCGGTCCCGCCTTACTGCTGTCGCTAGGTTGATCCGAAGTTAGGTTGAGACTGCAAATCCAATATGGATGAAATTGGACTCATTTTCTGCCAATGTCACAGAGTCAATGTGGCAGTCCTCCCTCAAAGGGGAAGCGATCAACTACTCATCAGCATATTAAACATTAAAAACAGACTGTAAACATGTGTCAGTTTGGAAAGAGTCTGTGATGAGCTGGGATTAAAAAGTCTCTGACATGAAGATTACCAACGAAATATGAAGCAGAACTTCTATAAAATTAATATAAAAGAGTGTAGGCTGATCACTCCAGACTTTTTTTTTTTTTTTTTTTACTGATTCACCATCAAACAGAATTTTTTTTTTATTTGAAGTGTTAAAACCAAAAGATCATGAACGACTCCATTATTAAAACTGCTGATATTTATTTTCATGATCACTCAATATTTGCTTTTTTAATTTGATCATGATGAGAAGTCTGACAGAGAGGAAGTCTGTCTGTCAGAAACACGTTTTACATTCATCATGATCATTAATGATTGTACAGTTTGAAAATGTTATGCATCCTGTTTTGCTGAGTTTTGTTCCTAATAAAACATTGTCAATAATCCTGAGACGTCCTTAGTGTTTATAAAATACAGAGTTCATTGTCAGATTATCAGTAAAAACAAATGAATAATTTTATTTTAAAGCTTTTTGCCTGTAGAAGTGGTCAATAAATGTTCTTTTATTGGCAGACCGCGTGGATGAAATCTAAGAGAAGTAGCCTTGAGTCTTGAAACATGTTTCCTCGTTTCCTCTCTCCATGAATATTTGGTGGAAGGGACTGAGAAGCAAGTGAAGGAGGCAAGGATTTAACCTTAAGAAGTGGGATGGATCCCTTGAAGTGCAGAGGACATCGTGTTTTAGTTTCCGGGTCTCGAGGGCTCTCTCTGGTGTTACGGTTCAAAGAGTGACCGTGTTAACTTATGACTATCCGCCGAATGCCTCCGTAGCTGACGTCATCACAACGCGTCTTTGTTTAACTTTTCATTAAATACACATCTGATAATAATCATTTGACATTGTGAAAAGAAACAGACAACGAGACACACGCGAAGACTCTTCAAGCCTTCAACATCTGTTGTAGTGACGTCACCCACAGACGCATTCGGCCAAGAGTCACCAGTTAACACGGTCACTCTTTACACCGTTACACCGGCTCTCTCGCAGTTAGCATTGTGTGTGTGTGTGCTAACATTGTAGGTTATCAGGGTAATGTCAGAAAAGACATCAGCGTTTAGTTGAGTTCTCCTTCTTTGAATCTTAGATGAATTCTCGTTGCAAACCGCCGATAAAAACCAAAGAAGAAGAAAAAGAAGAGTCTGTGTGTAAGATGTCCGGGTTTCAAGAACCGACAGGACAAACAACAACATGTGGATACGAAGAGGAGCTCCACCGACAAAGAAAAGTGCTGGATGTGATTTTAATACCTGAAATCAAGCTGCAGAGAGCAGGTAGGTTTTCTTTCCACTGCTGGAAACGTGTTTCCTGCTCATAGCCTTTAGGTAACAGACGCACACAGCACAGTGTTAGCAGCAGCTAGCTCCTGCTAACAACATCATTGACTTTACTTGAAGACTCTTTAGTGGATGTTGTGGAAGGATTATAATTATAATGTCTGATGGAGCTTCACATTATCAGTGACAAACAGAGTTTAAAGGACATTAACTTTGAGACACATTTGAGATAAGATGATTGAAATGATTCCAACCAGAATCTCAAACATCTCTCATGTTAGTGATGTGTGTTTGATCTGCTTGTTAAGCATGCTTTGTTTGTTTCTCTCCGGCTGTTTCCTCATTTAGTTTTAAAAAGTTCGTCTTGGTCCACACAATCATGTCTGTGAGACACACGATGCAAGATTACAGTGAAGTCATTCTTTAAAGGTCCAATCAGTGAGATGTGTAGAGAGTGAGATGATAAAGTGATCTTACTATCTGATCAGACATTAATGAAACATGCTATGTTGAAGTGCTGGCTTCTCTGACAACAATGCAGCAGCCAGTATGTCCTCCTTCTAACTTTAGATTCTGCTCCTGAATGATCTGGATTTGTTTGGACCAGAGAAGGTAGACGGTTTAAAGACACCCCCACACGGCTGTTTTGGACGCCCCTCGGTTTGTCAGATATGAGAGCAGTTATCAGGTCAAACCAACAGGTGTTGCAGTGATGGATACTTTAGATAGAAGTGATTGTACCCGACCTAAAAAGCCTCTGCATGTTTCTAATAAGCTCCACGAGCAGAAACGTGCTCAAACTAGGATCAATATTGGAGATGTTTTTGAAAAATGGAGAGAGGTTAGAACACAGAAAGGTTTACAGACCCATGCAGAGCTGGATAAACACTGAAGCTACAGTGTCCACCACATGGTGACCTGAGTGAACATCATCTCTAGAGAGGAGGGGGGTGAGACAGCTCTCTATAATGTTTAGAATGTAGACTGCAGTACCCATTTTAAACACTAGGGGTCAGAGTTACATACTGCTCCAGAAACATTTCATAGTTTGATGTTTATTTTAATTATAAACTTTTTAAATTTTAGTATAATATGTTTGATAAAAGATTCAGATGTTTTATTTCATAATTTTAAGTGTGGCTGCTTTGTGTCTCTCTCCATGCATTAGAGAGAGGGGCTGCTGTGGTGTGAAGGGAGGGGGTCAGGCCTGGACCCCTGATGTGGTGGGGGAGGTGATAAACTGGAGCTGTAGAAGTCACAGGGGATGCTGTCAGGGCTGAACCAGTGTGTAATGAAGCCACAGTAGAAGTCGTTGGGTTTAGTAGATTAGATGTTTATTGCCCACAGCTACTGGAGAGTACAGGTACAGGAGAGTACAGGTACAAGAGAGTACAGGTACAGGAGAGTACAGGTACAAGAGAGTACAGGTACAGGAGAGTACAGGTACAGGAGAGTACAGGTACAAGAGAGTACAGGTACAGGAGAGTACAGGTACAAGAGAGTACAGGTAAAGGAGAGTACAGGTACAAGAGAGTACAGGTACAGGAGAGTACAGGTACAGGAGAGTACAGGTACAAGAGAGTACAGGTACAAGAGAGTACAGGTACAGGAGAGTACAGGTACAAGAGAGTACAGGTACAGGAGAGTACAGGTACAAGAGAGTACAGGTACAGGAGAGTACAGGTAAAGGAGAGTTCAGCTGTGTTTGCTTCACTGAAGTAAATCGTAACAGTTCTACTTCCTGTCTGAACACACCGTTTGTGTTAGCTCATATTAATACAGCTTTGTATGTCAGCATTTCCACCGTGGGCGACTGAAAATAGATACTAGCAGTGTGTGCAAAACGCTGCATATTCATTGGCTGGTACTTTTCAAAGGAAGCTGTAACTCTCCTGGAGTTCTTTGGAAAATGCTGACTTCCTGTTCAGCATGACAGCTCGCCAAACTGTTGTTAAGCAGCATGTCCTGTTAACATGATAAGCTAGGCTAGCTAAGAACAGTCACACCCTGAGATTGAGTGACACATGTAGAGTCAGTGTTGAGCTTTGACTCATGATGCATTAGTGAGGTTTTTCTATTGGTTAAAACAGCAGCAGTCTTGGCAACAACATTGATTGACATATAAAACAGACAGATCTGTGTTGTTAGCATGATGTGTTGTTTTGGTTAAAACCGGAACAAGGGTTAAAAACCGGGACATATTACAGTTTATAGATATTTGTGAGGACTCAGGACATGAAGTTTGACGGAGAGGACAGCCTCAGTCAAATCGGGACGTGTGGTGATCTGAGTTTAAGGCCCTGTTTACACAACAACGATTTCATCTGTTATGCCGCCACACAACCCCACAGCTAAATGCTATCCTTGAGCCTAACGCTAAGGCCAGTGAGCCCGTAACTTAATGCCTCTCCTTACGTGTCGCGGAAACGTGAAGGTGTATCCTGCCTTACCTGAATGTGTGTGCAATTGTCCTGTCTGTTTGAGGGGTGCGTGTAGGTGACTCACCTCCAAAGATCCTCGTACGTGCCACGACCAGCTCACTCGGACAGCCCGATCCAGGGAGTCACTTAGGTACGATCTCCTCCGCCAGCCCTCTCTTTCATATCAGTTTAGTTCATGTGTAAAAAGAACCCGTGAAGTGTTGAAACAAAAACAAACGTTACTTCAGATTCAGTCTGTCAGGTGTCTTGCGTCCTCGCTTCTCCCTCGTGGCGTCTCTTCGACTCACAACCAATTTCCGCCGACTCATCCGCAGGTGCTGCTAATGAAGGTTACAGAGACAGAGCCACCACACCCCCCTCAGGTGTGTCATCAGTACTGACCCTGCTTCTCCTCCTACCAATCACGCCTACCACTAAAGACACTGAAGTGAATCCTCCTAACGTATTATCATAACACATCCCAAAACAGTATCCATTGTTGCGTTCTAGCCATTCATTCACACCTGTAAAACGCCTTCCCTTTCTGAAAATGGTGGCCTTGCATTATGGTTCCAGTCAATGAGCGAGAAGGTGGACTACAACAACAATGGCCAACTCCTGAGTTCTGTTTGTGAAAAGGTCGTCATGACTCCCAGTCGACATTTTCTCTGTAGTTTAGTGTCACACCTCACTGCTTTGTAGAAGGAGGAGGATGTGAGCATGCACGTGTTATTTCATCATAAAGTCACAGCACCAACTACTGGCCTGGCAGGTAAACTACAGCTTTTTGAGTTGTTTTTCTGGAGCCATGTTGTTGTCTGAATGAAGAACTTTTTTGAAAACTAAAGCGAAAAAGGAGCCTGTTTCTCTTGTAAATGTGACCTAAGGTTTGAGGTCCATGTGACTACCTTCTCACAGAGACGACATCTTTTCTGAGGACTAGGGATGATACAGTCACCTCATCATTTACATAATATTGGTTCCAGGATTTCATTTTATCGCTATTTTTTATGATTGTCTAATTTTTCATTTAAATGATTTATTTTTGGGCTTTAATTCCTTCGTCAGAAAGACAGAACAGTGGATAGAGTGTAAATAAGAGAGGAGTGACAGGCGAGAATGGAGCCACAGGTCAGACTTGAACCCATGCCACCTGCTTTAGAGGACGACAGCCTCTGTACAGGTAACATGAAAACTAACAGCTAGGCCAACTGGCAACCCATGATTTTCTCATTTTTATAATGTATTTAATCACAAAGTCAAGGGGTTTTATGAGAGATGAGGAAACATCTGAGAAAATATTTTCTGTTGCCAAATCTTTGATAAGAGCCTCTTAAGATTTTCACTGTGAAATGGATGCAATACAAATATGAAATATCCTCTTTTTCTTCTTTCACAAGTGATCGTTGTCTGAGTGCTTTTTAAGGTGTCTATAGTCAGGAATTAATGGACTCTCAGGAAGCTCTTGTTTTGTTGTGCAGTTATTCCTTATAATTGTCATCTCATCAGGTTTTTACAACTCTTCAACTTTTGTTCTGTGCTGAGAAAACATCAGATTTCCACAGCCACAGAAAGTCAAAGTGTGCCTCCTGCTCTCATTCAGTTTTAAACAGCCAATTATGTTGCCATGACATTTAGAGGTGGATTTTAACATCTGTTTGATTCTTGTTCACTGTGTCCTGCAGATGTCCAGCAGCTGTTGGTGATTAAAGAAGAGCTTCCACCTGAGCAGCAGGAGTGGAGCCACATTCTGGACCAGGAGGACACTAAGCCCCAACACATTAAAGAAGAACAGGAGGAACTGTGGAGCAGTCAGGAGGAAGAACAGCTTCAAGGACTGGAGGAGGCTGATACCTCTGACTTCCCCTTCACCTTGGTCATAGTAAAGAGTGAAGATGATGAAGAGAAACCTCAGTCCTCACAGCTTCATCAGAGACAAACTGAACAGATGGAAACAGGAGTTGATGGAGAGGACTGTGGAGGAGCAGAACCAGAGAGGGACTCAGATCCAGAGAGACATTTACAACCAGAGATTAAGGTCAAGATAGAAGACTGTTCTGAAGTTGAGACTGAAGACAGAGAAGATGATTGGAAGGAGACCAGAGGACATCTGTCAGGTACAAACTCTTTTGAAAACACTGAAGATGAGGGACCACTGAGTGATAAGAAATCACACAGCTGTTCTGAGTGTGGCAAAACATTCAAGAAGAAACCAGATCTAACCAGACACATTAGAATTCACACAGGAGAGAAACCCTTCAGCTGCTCTGTTTGCAATGAAAAATTTAACCAACAAGGGCATCTGTCCAAACACATGAGAATTCACACGGGAGAGAAACCCTTCAGCTGCTCTGATTGTGGTAAAAGTTTTAACCAAAAATGGGATCTGTCCAGACACATGTTGGTTCACACAGGAGAGAAACCACACAGCTGCTCTGAGTGCAGTAAAAGCTTTAACCAAAAATGTGATTTGACAAAACACATGAGAGGTCACACAGGAGAAAAACCTTTCAGCTGCGATTTCTGTAGTTTAAGATTTAGGCAAAGAGGGAATCTGAACACACACATGTTGGTCCACACTGGACAGAAACCGTCCAGCTACTCCGCCTGCAACCAACGATTCTCTTTGCACTCTCAGTTAAAAAAGCACAAAACAGGAGCAGGAGCTGATAGAGGGGACTGTGGAGGAGCAGAACCAGAGAGGGACTCAGATCCAGAGAGACATTTACAACCAGAGACTGAGGTCAAGACTGAAGACAGCTCTGACCCTGAGAATGAAGACAGGGAAGATGATTGTAAGGAGACAAGAGGACATCAGTCAGGGTTAACTTCACATAGCTGCTCTGACTGTGGTAAAATATTTAAAAGAAAATTGGACCTGACCAGACATACAAGAATTCACACAGGAGAGAAACCCTTCTGCTGCTCCATTTGCAGTAAAAGGTTTAGCTTAAAAGGAAATCTGACCAAACACATGTTGGTTCACACAGAAGAGAAACCCTTCAGCTGCCCAAACTGTAGTAAAAGATTTAATCATAAGTCCTCTCTGACACTTCACATGTGCAGTGAGGTCAACGTCTTTTGAACCTTTGGATTACACCAGACATCACATCTGGTTTTAGGACTCAGGAGGAAATTAATCTTTTACAACAACTTGTTTTCACCTTTCGTCAATTCAAGCTTGTACATAGAAAACATAAACGGACAACAAATCATACAAAAGAGCTGAAATATAGAGAAGGACCTAAAAGGAGAAACTTGTGTTAAACAGACTGATTAGTAATCACACTGACTGTCAAATAAAAGTCATTTAAAATGTAAGAACCTGAGGAGCATTCAGTCATCTGATGGCAGAGGGGATGAAAGGTTTAGTATGATGGTTAGTTTTACAGACGGGTCAAACACAACAATGACGTTGTGATGGCATCAGAGAAAATTCACTTTAAAGCTCATGACCAGAAGAAGATCAAATACTCTCAGCCTTCCTGATGATCTGCTGGTTACAAAATGAGCCCAAATTGCACTCTTAGCACCCATAATCGTTTCAGGTTTCTTTTTCTGTCCCTCAGTGAGAGGCTGAGAAAGCAGCAGATAACAGAGAAACACAAGAGACTCAATAAAAGACTGATAATAAAAACCACACAGAATCACAGGACTGACTGAGAAAGAACTCTATGTTTACAGACTCAGTGTTTACATCTTTTAAGTTATTTGTATGAGCTTACAGTTTCCACATCATCATCATCAATGATGCACTCTATGGGGGCCTCTCTCTTGCTCTCTCTCAAAGATCAGTTTAGAGAGATGAGGCTGCATGTCTAAGTTATTTAAGATCAAAGGTTTGCTTCTACCTGTCTGGTAGGCAAATTCAAGAGGATCAAGTTTTCCTTCCACAGATAGAGAACACAATTCTTCTCGATCTTTTCAACGTTTTTTTTTTATCATTAATGAAGTGCTGCTGGTCTACAATGATCAAGTTGTTTAGGACCAGTGAGGCTCCACTGTGGAAGACTTCCAGAGAGCAGGAGTTACCCTCCAAAGACTTCTGGACCATACTTCAGAAAACTCTGCCTGCAGTAAACCCCTTAAGGAGAGAAAGACAGGTTCCACCTTTATCAGTAAACACAGTCAATTCACAAAGTCCTGAGGGGAAGGGTTTCAAACTGTCCTGAACTCTAGTCCAACTCTGAAATCAACCCAACGAAAACCCAATCCGTCATCTGCCTGCTGAGACTTCCTGCAAAGACACTGAAAATGGTTGATCATAACATTGAAAGAAACAGTGTGATGACTTGACAGCTCCGACTGACTTGTCTTTAATGTCTCACTCTTACATACTTTAGAGTGAATATAAGTCTACTGTAGACGTTTAGAAATATTAGTATATAATATTAATAATATAATATAGTTAGGATGTGATCTGTATAATAATAATAATAAAAGTCTGTCGTCAGTAATTACAGAAGACGTGGTTTGTTTTCTGTTCACTTATTTTTGTGTATTTCTGTTTGATTTGTGTCGAGCAAAATGATGAGCTATAAGAAATGTGTCGTGAATATTTGATATCACAACTTCATATTACTCGATAGCTAATAGCTCCTACACTCTGGCCCCTCGTTATGTCACAATCACCATTATTCACCTGAACTACAAATCAGGAATATACCATGTATCATGTTCATTTGAAACCTGACCTGCAAGAAAATAAGTTAGAGAGAGATAGAAAGGAGAGATGGAGGTATTGAGCGGGAAAACCAAGGATTGGAATACTGTAGGATCGAGCCGAAAACGTGAAAAAGAGATTCAGCAGAAGGTCTAACTAAGATGTTGTAGCAACAGGAGAACAACATGAGGAATATAAAGTCATTGTTAGATTAAATGAAGAAGGTGAATGGAAAAATATTCAATTAACGAAAAACAAAAAACCCACTTGTAGGTGAAGTCTACGGAGCGGAGTATTACTGATTGTTTTTTAGTGACAGCAAACCGTATGATAAAAGTGAGGGCAAAAGAAGCACACTGATGGAGGACAACAACAGTGTCTCTTAACGTTGACCAGATGAAAGGAAACATAACAGGAGCAAACGTCATCGAAGCTAAGCCTTTAAAAACAATGAGATTCCCCCTCCATTAAGATGATCCAAGTGTCAAACATGTGGGCATATAGCGGCCATATAAAAGGAGATGTGAAAGATGTTCAGTGGAGCGTGAGTATGGAGAGTGTGAGGTGGGAGAAAAACTAAAGTGTTGTAGCTGTGGATGTGAAGTCAGCAAGAGAGCAGCTGAAGTTCATGAATGAAAGTTACACAGTTCAGAGAGCGCCTGGTCATCAGACGAGCCAAAGAGAAATATAATGGAAAGAAAGAAAGATACATTGATAGTTCACAAAAGTGATTTCAATGTCTAATAAAGGGTTTGGGATGAGGGAGCGCAGTAAGAAGAAAGGTGGGGGAATAGTGATGTATGTGAATGAGAGGTGGTGTAACTCTGGGCACATCACCGTTAAAGAACAACGCTGCACTAAGGATGTGGAGCTGCTGGTTGTAAGCATTCAGCCATATTACCTGCCGAGGGAGTTTTCACACGTCATCGCGGTGACTGTTTACCCTGGGTGACCCCTGAGCTGAAAACCCTGCTCAATGAAAAGAGAAGGGTTTTTAGATCTGGAGATAGAGAGGAGCTGAGGAGGGTGCAGAAGGAGCTCAAGAAAAAAATCAAGGAGGGGAAAGCCAGCTACCAGGAAAAGATGGAGGAGCATTTACAACATAAAAATGCAAGGGAAGTCTGGAGGGGCCTGAATAACATCTCAGGTCACAGCAGAGGTCGTGGGAGGGGCCCTGAAGCAGGAGACAGGGAGTGGGCAAATGAACTGAATCTGTTCTTCAATAGATTTGATTCTGCTCCCAATTCCGCAGGAAGTCACCCCAGACTGCACCGGTGAACATCCAGGGCTTGGACATCGAGAGGGTGGAGACGTACAAATACCTCGGTGTTCACCTCAACAACAAACTGGACTGGTCACACAACACCGACGTCCTGTACAAGAAGGGCCAATGTCGACTACACCTGCTGAGACGACTGAGGTCCTTTGGAGTGTGCAGGACTCTGCTACTGACTTTTTATGACACTGTGGTGGCGTCTGCACTTTTCTATGCAGTGGTCTGCTGGGGAGGAGGGAGCACAGAGAGAGACAGGAAGAGACTGAACAGACTGGTCAGGAGGGCCAGTTCTGTCTTGGACTGTCCTCTGGACTCTGTAGAGGAGGTGGGTGAGAGGAGGATGTTAGTGAAGCTGACATCCATCATGGACAACCCCTCTCACCCCCTGTAGACACTGTGGGGGCCCTGAGCAGCTCCTTCAGCAGCAGACTCAGACACCCACGCTGCAAGACAGAGCGCCACCGCAGGTCGTTCATCCCATCTGCAGTCAGACTGTTCAATCAGGCTCTTTAACAGCATCACCACCTCATGACTCATTTCAGTAATGCTACACACTGTGTGTGTTTTTTTTAAGAACAAACCTGTGTAGTTACTGTGTAATTTACATTACTGAATTTTTTGTTTAACTGATGTAAATATGTTTGATTTTTAACTTCTATTTTTATTTTTAATAATTATATTCCCGTCCCCTGTTTTCTTGAGCTGCTGTAATGCACAAATTTCCCCCACGGGGGATCAATAAATTTTATCTTTATCTTTAACAACATGGTGGTTCATCATGGGATTTATAATTTTACAGTGGCATAATGGTCAATCATTTAAACATTGAATAGCAAAGTTACAAAATAAACCTAATATTATACAGTCAAGAAACATGGCTGAAAGCAGAATGTGATTGTGTTATAATGACAGGACAGGTAGAAAAGCTGGAGGTGTAATAATATTGATACTGAGCTAAAGTGTGATTAATAAAGAGAAAGAACATGAATCAATAACAGTAAAGATGTGGACAGGAGAAGAGGAACCATAATGAATTCTAATAATATAAAAGGATAAGTCATTACACACTGGAAGCTTCTGGGGGGCAGCTTCAGAGTAAAGTGGTATAGTGTGGGGATTTCAATGCACACTGTGGGGAAGTAGAAATACTAATGAGAAAGAGAGGATTCATAAATGATGATACATAGCAGTACATAAAACACAGATAACCCCCATACATTTAACAGATACTATTTAAATGTATGTATGGAGTAAATGTTATGGTTAATAATACAGTTTGTTAAAATGTCCACATGGTGAACTCCTGTTCAAAGGGAGAGTCTGCTAGTCTCCCAGGCGGGGAAAAGCAGGTCAGGAGGAGAGAGGAAGGAAAGGAGGAAGGAAAGGAGGAGGAGCGGAGTCCGTCGTTCATGCAGCTAGTGTTAAATAGTTTAGATAAAAAGAACGCTTCCAGTTCAGTGTTCAGTGTTGAAGGGAAATGAAAGGGTTTTCAGTAAATTATGGAAACCTAAACCACCTCCCACATGGCACATCAGACCTACAGGGGGCGCTGCAGTGTGGATTAGCGCCCCTCCTGTACCTCTGTGTATACTTTATGCTCTGTTGTATATTATAGTCCTGCCTGTGTTGTATACTCCCTGTTCCATGTTTAATGTCTGAAATCTGTGATATAGATATCTTCATGT